GGGCCCAGCCGCTCCGCGGCATGTGGGATCCTCCCGGACCGGGGCACGAACCCGTGTCCCATGCATCGGCAGGTGGACTCTCAACCACTGCGCCACCAGGGGAGCCCTCTACTCTCCCTTTTAATAGAGACTTCACACCTCCTTTCTTCTAATCCAACACCACAAGTTAAAGTTAACGAGGACTTGGGTTTCTTGCCTATATATTAAAATACTTCACTCTAAGCAAGGCACCCTGAGAGAACCATAAGAGGGAGAAACACTGCAATGTAAGATGCTGCCTCAAGAACCTTCTAACATAATGGGACATGTATAGGAAGTAGAATGTCATGGTAGCAGCAACATGAGCTTTAAGAACCAGACACACCTGGTTCAAATCTTGAATTTATCTACACAATAGATTATTTGGCAATAAAAAAGGATGAAGTACTGATACAAACTATAACACAAGTAAACCTCAAAAACATTAAGTGAAAGAAACCAGTCACACAGGACCACAGATTATATGAGCCCAATTATATGAAACATCCAGAATAGGCAAATCTAAAGTAGATTAGTTGGGGCTTCCCTGGTGGTGCAATGGTTAAGAATCGCCTGCCAATGCAGGGGACATGGGTTCCAGTCCTGGTCCAGGAAGATCCCACGTGCTGCGGAGCAACTAAGTCCGTGTGCCACAACTACTGAGCCTGCGCTCTAAAGCCCACAAGCCACAACCACTGAGCCTGCGTGCTGCAACTACTGAAGCCTGTGCACCTAGTGCCCGTGCTCCACAGCAAGAGAAGCCACCACAATGAGAAGCCTGTGCACCGCAACGAAGAGTAGCCCCCACTCGCCGCAACTGGAGAAAGCCCGCACGCAGCAACAAAGACCCAACACAGCCAAAACTAAAATAAATTTATAAAAAAAAAATAAAGTTGATTAGCTGCCTTCAACTGGGGATGTGGGGAGCAGGTTAGAAGGTCGTGTCTAATAAGTACAAAATTTCTTTTTGAGATTATGAAAATATTCTAAAATTAGACTACGGTGATGGTTACAAAACTGTAAATATATGTATGGAAAGATGGTGTATATGCTTTGGAGTACAAATACTAAGTTTACCACTTAAGTATCTTCTTTGAGCCTTGGTTGCCTTAGGTACAAAATGGAGTACCACCTACTTTACAGTTGAAAGGTGAACTTTACGGTTATGCAAATTATATCTCAATACAGTTGTTTAAAAAGTTTGGTTCTGCCATTTATTGGCAGTTATTAATCTCTGTGCCACAGTTTCCCCATTTGTGAAATGGCAGAAGAGTACCTACCAACCTTCTGATGAGATGTTTACAGCACTTAGGATGGTGCTGGCATATGGTAGCTACCATTTTTACATCTGAAGATATAATCACAGGAAAAGACATGGTCAGGACCAAGAGTGGTACAAACACCACCCAAAGGGAATTGTTTAAATAAGTTATACAATTCCACACGGTCATTAAAAGTACTTACAACTCAGGTAAGACATTACTGAATGAGAAAAGCACTCCCAGATACATAAACATGAACTGAACCCCCACCCAAGTGATTCTTTTGGTATTCTCTGTCTTAGCAAATAACACCACCATCCTCCAGGTGCCCTAGACAGAAATCTAGGCACCATTCTTCACTTTTCAATCTCCCTCACTCACCACATCCCATGCCTGACATTTAAGCAATGAGATACTGGCTGACAGACTGAATCTTCTAAGGGGAGCCTGACTCATCAGTTATATCATTCCCAATTACCTTGGGGCGGGGGGAAACAGACCAAGTAAGGAAACTAGCACCTAAGATCTTGTAGGTGATAACTTCAAAACAAAATTTAAAAAGCCTGGTGTTATTTTGTTTAACCTATTAAAATCCAGGTATAAGCATGAGAATGACCAGAAACATTTACAATTTTATAAACTCTGCAGGATGGCCTTAAAGGGACAAACTTGAGTTCCATATCATTTTGAAGCTCTTGAAAGAGTCCTGCAAGGTGGTTTTCCCAAGCCCTCCAGAGACGTCCCACCGAGAGTGGTTAAATCCACTGACACAAGGCCCTTTTCACAACTGTAGATTTCTAAGATGATTTTCAACTTCGTTAAGGCAACTTCACAAGGGCTAAGATAATAAGCACTTATAATCAATCTGCGGATCTTAAGGCTACATGCTTCATTCATCCCCTGCCTAATAACCATTAACCAATTGCCTGCTATCTACAGCAGCGTTCTAAGGGTAGGCAGGTTAGACAGAGACTCAGTCAAAAAAAATTTTTTGAAGTCTAGAAAGGGAACTAAGACCTGATTATGTCGTGAACAATCACAACACAAGCTACAATGTGCTGTAAACATACACTGTCCTCTGAGCCGAGGGGACTCAGAGGAAGAGAATGTGCCTGGAAGTGAGGGTAAGACGAAGGTCTGAAGAACACAGAGAATAGAGCAGCATTATCAAAAGTGGTCCAGCATGGCGGAGTGTTACGTATGGGAAGAGAGAGCAGACTGGAAAGAAGGTCTATATGCTTTGGAGTACAAATACTAAGTTTACCACTTAAGTATCTTCTTTGAGCCTTGGTTGCCTTAGGTAGAAAATGGAGTACCCACCTACCTTGCAGACTTTGTGGTAATGAGAAATTAAAGTGCCTGGATACGCTCGATAACTTATTAGGGACAAATGTCTCCCAACTCCATCACTGTTACTCATAAGTATGCTTTCAACTTATCCTAATCAAGTTCACAGAGAAGCTTACAGCACGTAACTAGAGGGTTTTTTGCCTTAATGGTTTGAAACTACCACTCATAATTCTTTAAAATCTGAACCCACACCATGCAGCTATGTTTGCTAGTTCAGGAATAAGATCCTAAAATGTTATACCTATTTGTATGCCAGAACAAATCTAGATTTGCCCTATTTTAGAAACCCTGGCCTTGTCTTCAAATACCGTATAATCCGGGATCAACATGGTGATGAAATGGCCATTCCTTTAGGTCAAAATCCTGGTTTGTCGATATTTGTCACAAATGAATGCCAACTCTACCACCTTCTGGGTTTGTTTTCATTAAGTTTGCCTTTAATCAACAACAAAATATCTACACTGCAGACCACTTCAAGACTATTACCTGAGTCCTCAAAAGCCAGCTGAAAGATTTATGGAAGACTGTCTGAATGGGACACAGTTTATCTACTCCTCCTGATGGAGTTTTAAGCCTGGGGTTCCATAGATTGGAATCCACTGACTCCCTTTGCAAAACCGTTCATGGTAAAAATTTTTCTGAGAATAAAGTTTTCTAATTAATCAGATATTTTTAGTTAATAGCACTGGTCTTGAACATTTTGGTTTTTTTAACCTATTGTACAGCAAAAGAAAGTAATATACTTAGGTATCCCAAAAAAAGTGGTTCTGAGACGTACTTTGGCAATTTGGTCTCAATTTTTTAGTAAGTAATAATAAAGCTGAATAAAACCTCTTTAGCATGTACACTCAGGATTTTGAGGACTGTTTACCACAATTTCGAACAGCACTTGTATGACTACCCACTCAGAAAAATGTCATTCAGACCAAGATAAGGAAATGTTACAGTTTCCCCTAAGGAATTGATGTTTTCCTTACATTATGGGAAAATGTAAATCTAGCCAAGTTTCCATGTTTGCTTCAGTCTCCTGGTCACTCAAAGCCAGTTTCTGTTTGAATTTCAGTGACTCTACAGCTGTTAAGAAATGCTTCTCTAACTTTCTCCTTGGTCCTTGCTTGTCCATTCTTAAACTTCCACCTCAAGTCTTCTGTGCAAGAATGTAAGGAATAAAAATTTATTAGGTTGATCCATATGAAGTTGTCAATATCCTACCCTTTCTACCAACAAAATGACAGTGTCACATAGTCTAATATTTCATAAATACTAACCTGCTAGGTCAGATGTTGAGATTACTGAAATATGTAAAACATAATCTATGCCCTAGGGAGAACGAGCTAAGTGGGAGAAAGAAAGACAACCAGCTAGGTAAGTGGAGATCAAGGTAAGTACAAAATACTACAGAAAAGATGAGTATATTTAAGGTACCTAGGATGGTTTAACAATTCAGACTTTTAAGCTAGGGATTAATGAAAAAGCAGAATTTCAATAAGCAAGTCTGAAGAAGAACATAATAGACAAAGAACAAGCACAGAGTGGATACAGAACACAGTAAATTCAAGGAAAGGGAGTGCAGGAACAAGACTGGGCAGGGAGGCTCACCAGGAATAAAGGAGATAAGGCTGCAGGTCCTTATCTGCAGAAAGAGACCAGATACAAGACTCAAGATACCACCTCCTCTTCATTCATAATCTCACTTCCCTCTCTGTTCTCCACTGGTTCCTTCCATTAGTAAGTATGCTCAAGGCTCTCTCATCTTAAAAAAAACCACATCTTCCTTGATTTAAAACATTCTGTTAAGCCACTGCCTTCTTCCTTTTGCTTTACCACCAATCTTTTAGAAAATATGCCATATTTACTTCTGAACCTCCTGTTCATCCTTCCTCTCAACCCGTAATATCCTGCCAGCATGTCCTTCTCCCCCCAAAAGAAACTACATTAATGACCTGAGTTGCCAAACCCAACCGATACTTCGAATCTATCTTACTTGATTGACATCTTTGGGTGTCTGATCCTCGGCTACTCTCCACTCATTTAATTCAGGAACCACTTTCTCCTGGCTCTCCCTTTACTTTTCTGGTTATTCTTCAGTTTCTACAGAATGCATTTAATGCCCAATATTCTTTTCGCTCTATAAACTCAGTCTGGAAA